CGATAAAAAAAGGGCCCAAAATAAACGCACATTTAACTTTGCGTCCTGTTCGCACATGCCTTTTTATCTGATGTACACGCACAGAGAGACAGCGAAAGTGGAGCTTTTGCATGTTTTCCAATTATTCATCGTTACAAATTAAGCGATGACGCCAAAGATAACATAAAATGGGTAAGGAATAGACTCAAGTCTTCCTTAGAGAGTAACGTTTATTTGTTGAGGAACAAACAAGCAGAAGGGAAGGATGGTGAAAGTGAGAGATATGTATATTGTTTGATCAAAGCATATGGAACCACAAGTATAATCATTGCTTACAGCCACTTTAATACCACCGAATATAATAATGACTAAACAACAATAAAGCATTAAATATATACTAGAAATGAAAGTTGAAATAAGTTTATATTCATTTTAATTTTCTACACGTTTCTTATTTATGTTTATTCTAGCAAATATTCTCTAACATTCCCGCCGAATAGAACCAGAATCAAAACATGCTATCGTCACATCCATACATATTTCTACATAAATCGACGAGCTGCGAGTTAAAGATAAAAACTACGTATTTTCCAACAAAAGCGCACGTGAAGAATTTTCTAGGAAAATCACAATTCATTCGAATCATTCATCCTATTTCAGTTTCGTTTATATTTTGTGAATGGAATCGGACACAAAAAGTCTATCGATTTTTTTCGTCTCTGACGAAGACTATCTCGAAATGGATTTTTCTCATTCATTGCCGAAATTCCATTTATATAATCCATTGTTGTGTTTTGACACACATTGAAAATGAATCGAAATAATCCAACCAGCAATTTGCTCTTTTGTATAGTTTTGAGACGTACAGCCGCCAAAATCATATTGATTCTGTGCGATTAATATACATATTTACATTGTTTCAAAAGTCAGATAAATGGAGTGATTTTTGAAGAGAAACATGTTATGAATGAATTTACTCATATTTTGGATGGTATTGAATATGTTGGTTTTATTTTAAGAGATGTCAAGATAAAATTGAAAGTCTACAATAGGATTCCCTTAGGTCCGCATGAATAAATTTCTACAAATGCGTTAGTGCGGACGCATTACCCACTTATTTTGAAATCAATTTTCATGCGATTTTCCTAGCTCGTGTTTCATTCCATCGCAAAGTTGGCGTTTAAGATGTTGTAGACAGCAAACGAGCAAACAGAATGCACGCATATTTTGATCTTCCTTATTCTCTCGCCGGATTAACTTATTTATTTTTACATTTCCACACTTGAACGCATATATGCGAAAGCCAATTTGAATATTTAACTCGAGCCCCATCACTAGCACCAGATGTGAAATGCGTGAGTCGACTTCAACCCTTGACTATGATAGATGTTTAAGCTTCAAATTGAATAAATGTACATATATATTTGTGTGTGTGTATGTGCGCACAAGATACGTTGATTCTAAAACAAGCCAAGAGATCAAATCAGTTTCTTTGATATCAAGAGAGGTCGGAACTTTCATATGCAAAGTATCATAAAATAAGAATCATTTTAGTCACACAAAATTGCAGATATTAGTTGCAAAAAAAGCATAATCGAAATGGTGATAAAATCAAAAGCCACACAAAGAGCAACAAAAAAATTCATTACATCTCATACGATGCTGTTGTGGTGTTCTTGGAATGAAAGATTTTCTTCCATATTTCGTCAAAAAATGGTTGAAAATAACTTGAATTATTTAAGCCGTTCGTGGATACGTTTAGTAATCCTTTTTAGGAAATTGGTATTCCTTTGTCGTATCAAGTATGCATACCGAAAAAATCTAATTTTTCCAGAGCAATAATTCATTCAAAATTATGTCTCATACAAAAAGCGCGTGCATGATGCTAACATTCTCGATGTGCCATTGCCTTCATGTATTCCAATCTTGTTTTTTTTTTTTCCTTTTTCTCTCATTTTCAGATGTATTCTAGCATTTCTATATGTAGAAACTGGTTTTCTTATACACATTACACAACATTTCTGTTCGCAAATATTTTGTGTATTCCCATAGAAAATGATGTGTGAACTCATGCTATCTTGTTTATATCCGAGCAAGTGGTCGGATGTTTCGTTACTCGTACAAACATACAAGTGGAATACTTGCGGGTTTCACATAGTGACAATCACACGTATGTAAACATCCATTGATGTTCATCCAACGAGAAGAAGAAAAAAAGAAAGTAAAAAGCGAGTAGCTTTGACAACAATATAAGCATTCTATGTTGTCGTGCATTCCATTCCAATCAAGTAGAATAATGTCTCGGTGTGCATGTGGAACAGGGTAAAAAAAAATTACGGTGTATTCGGTGAGCGAGAGAGAGAGCGCGTGTCCCCATGTGTGTCAAGTGGTGGTAAAATAAGCTCTCAGATGACTCACAAAGCTCATGAATATTTGAATATTTCAAACGATATAATGACATACACAAATAAAATACACTGAACTGTCAAATGGCTGTTGGCATTATGTTGCACAAATGCTGACATGTTGTTGTCATTTGCCAATGACAACCAGAACTTCGTCGTTTCATTTAAATATTGTTCAAGTATTACGCATCAATTCACATTTGTTTAATCAGTAGCAATAGCAAGTGCAGCAATGCAACCAACTTATTGAAAATAAAGTAATTGAAACACAACCACTTGCACCACACATTTTTACATTCGATTCTCTACCCAAATGTGTTGCAAAATTTAAAAACTGCTAACGGTCATACTTATTCACATGCAAATAGTTTCGCAGAAATTTGTGCACACTTTTTTGTATCTCTTCTACGATCTAAACTATCAGTTTTTTTGTTGAATGTTCGAGGTGAGAAATGTTTTCTGTGCAACATACAATGTTGCGCATTAATACATAAAATATATTGCTTAAAAATGTTGTGTTTCCATTGGCTGATAGCAAATAAAATTCATTTTCACTTTTATTGATTTAGAGTTTTCCGTTCAATTCACCACGTCCAAATATCTGCGATGAATATTCATTTTTTTCCTTTTCTTCATTTCACATTTTACGCGTGAGAGTTTCATACATGTTCTTAAATCTATCCAAGTCTGATGAGAAAGAAGTAAACCCAAGCCACATAGAATAGAAGTTTAAATGTGAATAATGTCCCAAAGTGCCCATTTGACAAACGATATAATGTGTAATAATTAAATAAAGTTGCGTGCATTTGATTCATAGCGCCTGTAGACTGCTAAATAAATGAAAATGTGACACTATAAATTTACATATTCCATTATGAAATTCAATTTTCCATATTTTAGCCATTTTCATTGTGCAAAATCACAGTTTATGCCATTTGTTGTGTCAAACAATGCTTACTGGCATTAAATCAGCATGATAAAATCATTACCCATCGACCACCGACCGTTTTGTTGACGATTTTACTGAGAGGATGCATAGACACGCACTCAACACACCACTCGTACCATATATATCCGTAAAAGACGGAATTGGACACGCAAATGCCTTTCAAGTGGTTGATTGAATACATTAAATTGCCAAATAAAAGGAAAATTGTCTTAATTCAGTGATAAACCCATGCCAAGGCAATAAGAAATTCACATAAAAGTTAGTGCACCTCCACAATCTTAGAAGAAATGTATACAGATATAGAGACACTCTAGTCGATATAGAAGTAACGAGTCATTAAAAATCTTTCCATGTCGATTTTTTCAGACTTCTGAACTCGTTTTATAAGAAACCTGTCGTCGTTTTTTGAATAAAAGCGAATATATTTGAACATGTTGAACGTAGATGTAGAAAAATTGGGATCAAAAATTAAAACCAATTAATGAAAAATGTGAAAATGAAATATTCAAGAACTGACATTCATTTGGCATAACATCCAAAGAATTTTAAATGTTCCGTCGCTTACTTCGTAGGATTTTGGATGAATTTATTTAATTTAAAGAAGCATTTGTAATGCATTCATTGCTCATTTTTCGAATTTATTTCTGCCAAAAAATGTCAATTACAACATTCGTCGTATCAGCACACTGGCATTTCGACACAGAAGAGGGTATAGACATATAAAAAATGCAATCCAAATGATTCTACTGTCATTTTTCCTTACACAAATTGAGCACTATTATTTGCATGACATTGAAATAGCTGAAATTATTGCCATTTTTGTTGTTATACACAGCCCACACAAATGCGACAAAATAAACACAAAAAAACGTATTTTTATACCAGACTAACATGAATTGTGTATTATTATTGCATTGTTGTTAAACCTGCTCAGATTTCCTTGCTTCGAATGCTGGTTTTTATATCGAAGAGCCGCAAAAAAGCGCGCATTTTGGTTTTGTCATCAAATTGGATGGGGACAAAAATAAAGCTGAATATATACTTTAATATTCTGAACATTTTTTGGCTAGTCGAAATTAGTCTTGTATAATATGACTAAATTGATTACGATATTCGATCGATTCCTTTCGATTGGTGTTAAAGCAGCTCCTATTATCTTTCAACGAATAAAATTAAAAATGGATCGAATATCGTAAATGTTTGTAATTTGAACTAATTGCATCAAGTAAAGTGGCAATAAATAAAATTCTTTGTGCAGTGAATTTTTTTCTGCAAAAATGCCATGTAAATTTGCCAACGGAAACGATGAAATGTAGAACGATAAAAGAAACTTCAACGGTTAGACTGTTTCTTTGTAATAAGAAGCGTTAAAGAAATGTTTTAGTCACATAGATGTTGCGTTAGAAAGCACAACATCATACCAACGATTACGTAGCAAACACAACTCAACAAACGCCTGTTTGTTTGATTATGCGACTAACAGAGCGTCTGAACGAAAGCAAAGCTTCCGAATATCCGCAACGCAACGGCATACGCAAACGTTTCGTTTGCTTTGCACATGACTCAGAAATCTCCTTGATAGGTCGTGAGCGAGAACGCGTTTTTTATTTCAAACGAAATATTCAAAAATCTCAAATATTCAGAATCAAATGAAATAAAAAACTTACCAGCTAAACACTGACACAATAAATTTTTGCAACGGCAACGATTTTTCGAAATTAAATCCGAAATGTCAATTTTTATCCGTTTTGATGATGAAATGATTGTTATTGCGAAAGATATGAAGTTGTGCGGTTTGGTTCGCGCGCGCACAAAATTTTGGGTGGGTCAAATGGAATTCCTTATGCGTTTAACCAAATAAAACGACGTCGTTGCGAACAACAACGAAAAACGACGGACTAGAACTTTTCCTTTTGTCGTGCGTGTATGTACTTTCTTTCTATATTATATATTTAATGACGGCACTGAGCTTTATTGTGGTAGTGAATGACAACACAACGCGCACGGATGATGACGATGTTGAATACAAACACGAGCTCACTAAATCACTTAACACGGCGACTCCAAATTGAGAAGCAGTAACAACAACACACTCTCACTCAATCTCTTAATACCGAAAATTCTTTTTCACAAAAAATGTTGCACTTGTTTATATCCAAAAATTGGTTCACTTGGAAACGAATTTCTATATTTGTCTTTTCTTTTCCTGTAAAATGAAATATATGTATTCGATGAATTTTATGTTTAGATAAAAAAAATCACCATTAAATCAACACATTTGCTTGTTTAATACAAAACTCGATTTATTATAAGATTTTAACATAAATAAATTGAGTCAAACGATGAATTGATTCATTTCGGTTGTTTTGCATGTATGGGTATTTTTTTGGTTACTCTCTCTCTCTAGTAAGCACATGGGAAAAGAAGGACGCGATACATGAGTGCCGTATTCAATGGCATGGTAAACGACGCACGGAATGGAATGAAAACGAAACCACAAACATGAATACGGAACGAACGCTTTTTATGCGATTTGCTGCTTGCGCAGACTTTGGGATAACTGTGCATATACGGCATTCCAATCGTCTTTGCCAATAATTATATTTTTTAAGCTTTTTTCCCTCTCTCTCTAGTTTTTTTTTATTTTGCCCAACCAAAAACTATGACATAACATTTCTTAAAAGCTAAATTTACACTTCTTGGATTACATGATATTATAAATGTGGGATGTGACGTTGCTTACGCAAGTATCCAAGAAAAAAAATTGAGTGCGATTTCGCGTCGGGTATTTATGTTTGTTGAAATTTTATGGCATGCAAACAAACGCAACCGTTGTTTTATGATCAAAATCCAGAAGAGGGATACGCGGTATGAGTATAGCAAAGAGGATGGCGAAAAAAAAATCAATTTAAAAATGTTATTGCTTTGATTTCAGCAACATCAAGACGGGTAATTTTTTAACAAAATTGCTTCATTGTCTACATGCAAAATGACGGCGCCAAATAAATGTATCGAGTGGATCGACAATTTGGCTAATTTATCAACCAAAATGGTTTACTCTCGGGATTGATAGCTTCATCTGCACTAAAGATGATTAAGTCATTCAAATATGTAAGCGTAAGAAAAAAATGCTAATAAATATCCATCGGTTTTTGAAAAAGTGTGTTCGTTCACATAAATTTTCGTGATTACACTTTACTTGACATACAAAAATTCAGCACGACTATTTTGCATAATACACACTCAACATTGAAAATATGTACATTTTAATCATACATATCGGTGACTGGTGATTCGAAAATTTAATGGGATGTTTTTGAAAAATTAAATATAATTTCACTTGGGAAACTTTTCTTTCTGTGAAAAATATACTTGGAGAGAAAAAGAGAAAAAAAAATTGTGCGATGGTCGTTCCATTTTTATGGGTTGAATCGCTTTTACTCATTTGCAGTATTCATTTTCATGATTCGTTTTAGTTGTCGTTCATGGCACTCGCTTCAACCATTTCACATATAAGCTCATTCGTTTCGCGTTTGACTCACGCAATGCCATCGATTTTTTTTCTCTTCGCCTTTTTCGTTTTTATTATTATTGCCGTGTATGTTTGCCTGGTGTTTCCTTTTTTTATTTCTGTTGATTATTTCGTTTCCGTTGAGCTATTTTGTTTTTCATATTTTCCATTTTTTTCTGTGCTTCTCTTTCATCGTCATTTATTTCGATAATTTTGTTCTTTCTATAAATGTTGCTGTACACAGATACAGGCGCGTGTTGCCACAAATAACACCACCTTAATTTCAATTTTACGAGGAACAAAAAAAAATAAAGAAAAACTTTTCGATTCGTGATAAGACCTTTTATAATAAATTTTGTCATTGGATCTATGGGCTTGATGTGGTTATTTTGGTACGCTGATGACTTATACAATGAATGGATTCCGATGTTGTACCGAAATCACACACATCCTAGTATGGAAACTAGTCAGTGTGGCAGAACAATGGAAATGACTTAATATCTGGCTTTTATTACTTGTATATACATTCATTCAGCCAATACAAATCGACTATGGTGTACAGAAAACAAATTGTCCACTTATTGAATTTATGTGTTGACTTGTCATTACACAATTTATATAAAATTGTCACTGTTTATTCATTGATTTCATCTCTCGAATGAGTTATGTAATTTGTTTTGTTTTTTTCCAAAAATAATATGACTTCTTGATGTGCATACACAAACATAGATAGTTGAAAAAAAATGTTGGAAAAATTGTACGAAGATTTTTCGTGAACAAGTAACAACAGAAAATCACTCATGACATTGCCGAACCCATTTTCTTCATTATTCAACATTTTAATCACCACAAACTATTCACAAATATATTCCACCCATATATGTAATGTGTGTGTTGAGAAAGAAAGAAAATAAATACATTCACATACATTTCAAAATATATGTAAACCGTATAGTGTCCGTGGCGTGCAAGCAAATGTGTTGAAATTTTCCCACAACTTTTGTTTTCCATTTAATTCACACAAACACTCGTTATAATACAATAAATTTTTCGTCCAAATGTAAAATGTCTGATTCAAGTGTATTCTTTAAAGAAAATAAAAAAACTAAAACCCAAAGAAATGCTCGTTCAACATAAATATTTGAAAAAAAAAAAATGAATGATTATTTCGAAGAAAAACGTTTTCGAAGAAATCAGTTTTATGTAATTTGTTTTGACTTTGTTATAAGAAGCTTGAGCTTTCCGAGAAAAACCATTGCAAAAGAAAATCGCCCGAACGAGAAAAAAAAAATCACAATTCAAAAATCACAAATTTCATAGCACAAGGTAAATTTAATTCATTTCAACTGCAATATTTTCCCCTTTTTCAACTTAGCATTCGATTAACCGTATGAATATCGATTTTCACTTACACAAAACTGTTTCTGAATCCTTTAGTATACACAAAAATCAGTTATAAGAGTTTATGTGTTCTTTTTTTCGTTTATTCAAACGTTCTTTCATAAAATTTATAATCTGATTCTTTACTCTTGTCTCTTTTTTTCCTTATTATTAGTAATTCCGTAGTGTTAGTTCTTAAAAAAAACTCACGCACAGAAACGAAAACGTTAAAAAATAAATTTTTTACTGTTCACACAAATTAAAATTAAATTATACTATTTTTCTGCTATTTTCTTCTTTTTTTCTTATTAAGCACTTGTACGTACGATGGCCCGGCCCGTTCTCTATGGTGGCTCGCTTAAACTGCAGTCCTCAACACAGAAACAGCAAAGCCACTACTTTAGCTCGACAAAAAAAGCTTTCGAGTTTGCTAGAACGAGACAAAGGTATGTAACACGCGCACACATAACATAACCGATATGCATGAAATTATATGACCCATATAACTTGGATTTTCAATGAATGACAAACGAATCGCTGTCAACGAACAAACGGGACAGATATAGTGATTTTGTTTTGAATTCCAAAGCTCATTCATTCGTCCTTTTTAAGACCACTCCACATTACACATGTGTTTGTGTGCAATGTGCGCTCCGATATGCGAGGCTCATGCCAAACACGGATGACAGAATCTCACATCAAATGTGGATATAAAGCTACTGTATGCATGTCATTTGTTTGCGCACACTCCATTCGGTCGGTAGCATTCAATTCACACACTTTGGACCGTTTTTTTTATATGCTTACTGCATGTTAACAAACAGGGTGCATTGAAAATTCAATGCGACACTTCCGATATAACTGTAGAAAAAACGTTAAAACTTTATTTAAACGATTTATTTCTGGTAAAATAATGTGAGTAATTCGGTTGGGATTTTTGCTATTCTACTCTATTGCATACTTATAGTGTGATTAGGGCTTTTTTTTTACCATTGAACAAAGTTGAAAGAGATACTCAATTTCCAAGCAATTTCCTTTGATTTCTGATCTTACAGCATACATGATCTATAGCTGAAGATTTATTTCAATCAGAATGCTTCGGATTTCACTGTTTTCTGGTGATTATGCGAGTAATTTTCCAATATTTTAGTCCATTTTTTGGCCAATTTTTGGAATTTGTATTATTCTTTTTTAACGGGCCAAATATAATTTTTGGTTGGATGGATTATACTCGGTACATTTTGTTACTCATAATATATCGAATTTTTACTGAAATTTGAAAAAAAAAAAAACGGTTGCGTTTTTTTAGAATAAAACTGATTCATAGTGATCTGAATGTTTTTGCTGAGTCACATTTTTTCGACGACTTTCAACTACCTATCTATATGGTATATTATCGAAACCGTTGAATTCATTCATAAAAATGTGTTCCCCTCTTCAATTTTCGACCAGAGTTCTTTCTCTTTTCACCTAAACCGTCCTTAATGTGTTCTATTATAAAGTAAACAAGTAGTCATACGTATCAACCTAACCTCACATTAGTGGTTTGTCAGCCAGTTGTGTGAAACGAAATTGTCAAATTTCCATATATGAACAATTCCATCTGAATTGTTTAAAATATTTTTTCAATGAAAATATTCATAAAATCTCATTATAAAAAATAAATAGCTTTGAAAGAAATATGAACAAATCTTTTGTGACGAATGTGAATTTTTTTTTTTGATATTTGATTCGATTTTAATTAATCGAAATCAATTTAAATCAAATATTTCAAATGGAATTGTTGCATTGGTTTATGGGATTTTATTCAGCACTTTGACTTTTATACCAAAAATGGCTGAAACATAAAAGAGTGAGAAGAGTAATCGCATTTCTATTTCTGCTGTTGTTATTTTTGTTCTTTTTTTTTTTCTGTTTCTTGTACATCGAGACAACGTAAAAATGATTTGAATTTTGTTGGAATTAATTTGTGGCCAATAATTCAGAGTCAATTGTTATGAAATGAATTCAAGTATTTGTCCCACACGGAAATGTGTGAATATATTTTGAAAAAAACCTTGAAAATAATAACATTCAGTGTGTGTGCATCAAGCGTATATGACGCCTTTCCGTATAGGTGTATGGAAAATTTTGAGCTCTATTTTACAGAAAAGATGAAAACAGTTAAAAAGTGACCGAAATGATTGCATAAAGTGAGGCAAAGAGTAAATGGGAAGGGAGTCACTTCCAATCTCTGACAATAACATCAAATGAGCCTAATAAAGGCCATTTATCGATGTGTACTGAAAATATTACCTAAAAGTGGAAAATCATACGGAATAATTTAATCATATTTAATATAAGAAAGTCTATGCGTTTCGATTGGCCTTTTGCAAGTGTGAGTGTGTTGTGGTTATTTTTTGCATACAGCTGTGATTTACGGATCAATTTTACTTTTTTAAAAGTAAGTTCAAAATTCGTTTGACATTTGCATATAAACATCCTTACAAAAGTATTTATTGTATTTGCTCATCGTCACTGATTAGCATTTCGATTGTTCGTCAAATAGCGAGCTATTGTACCCATTTGCACTGACAATTACATGCACAGTCTTTATAAACAAATCATTCTATTCAGAAAAGTAATTACCATTTTGGTATTTTTAGCTGATAAAACGAATCGTACAAGTAAATTATTCATAACTTTTTTTGCATGTCAACAAAATATTTTCAAATGCCATTTTTCTTTGCACAACTGTACTAAGCATAAAAAGTAGTACTTATATAAGAAAATACTTATCAAGCAATTTTCTTTCTAAATTCTACTTAAGATATACAGAGATCAATAAAACATTATGTCGAAATTTATGAATCGTCCCCCGCCATCGGTAATGTCAACCGCAACGCTGACAAATAGCTCAACGTATGTGGAAAAATTGATGATTGGGCTGGATCATGCGCCACCCAGTTTTGATTTACGTACCCAAATAATTGGAGTTGGTGGAGCGAATTTAATTTACATCACAAATGAAACTGGTGCAATTGCAACGTTACGTGGCCGTGGATCACAATTTAATGATCCCGTTTTGGGCATTGAATCACCCGAACCAATGCATCTTTATATCGAACATACACGATTGGATGCACTTCAAAATGCAAAACAACTAGCACGAAATCTGATCGAAACGTTGCAACAAGAATTGGCACACTTTCAGCAACTAAATCCACCTGGATCGGTTCCAACATCGGTGTCAGCGTCCGTTCAGAGTATACAGTATTCACAACAGCCAGTTCAAAATATGCAGGCAACACATACACAGGTAAATAGCAAAAAGAATTGATTTTGTGAGATTTTGTTTTTTTAACTGTAATAAATTTTGTGTTTAGGTGATATCAACACAGCCGGTAATACCACAAATACAAATGTCCGTTCCGCCGCCAAATATAATACAGCATCAACCACCACCGTCAATTCAAAATGTTGAGCAAATGACAACGTTGAATGCACCGTTAGTGCAGCAATCAAATATCGTTTCACAAAATACACCAACAATGGTAACAGCGCAACACAATCAGCCACAATTAGTACAGCAGCAAATTTTATCCGGAAATATGGTGATCCAACAACCGATCCAAACCAGTTTACCGACAAATTTGAATGTGCCACCGCCCAATAGCATTATATCGATGAAACAAGGGCACATTGTACCATCACAAGTTCAATTATCACAACCACCTCCGAATATTCATTTACAACAACAGCCCACGCAAATTGTTCTAAATCAACCGCCAACAAATTATCAGTATATTCAACAGGCACCACAAGATGCTGGCCATCAACAAAATGTAACCATTCAGCATATATATCAATCTCAAGGGATTGTACAACAAACACAGCCGATAAATACATTCACCACGCAACAAACCACAGTACGACCGCCTTCGCAACAGTATATCCTCCAAACAAATACACCGTAAGTATGCTAATTTTACAACAACAACAACAAAAAATTGTATACGGTTCTTTTTATTGTAATTGTCCGCACAGATATCCATGCATAACGGCTGTTCCACCGCCAAATATAATACAACATCAACCGCCACCCATGCAACCAGTGCAGGCACAACAACAAAATATTATATTTCAAACAGCTGGACAAATTCCATTACAACAACTACAATTTCATCCACCACCAAATATCGTCGAGGCACAAACAAATCCAATCACATCAAATGATAATGATGCGGATAATATTGTCGGTGTAAAAGATGAAAAATCCAGTCCCGAACCAAATGACATTACACGACCCGAAGAGAAGGCCGACCCGGAAAATCATGAAGAAAATGTTCAAGCAAATGGTCCAAATATTTCAATGCAAATGCCACCACCGATTCGATTCACATCGACGCCAATAATGACCGTACCACCACCAATTAGTTGTGTACAGCACATTGTCGGAAATACGCTTATCACATCAACACAACCAACTGGCACACAAACTCATCAGATTTATAATCCGGTTTCATTGCAACAAATTCAAGCGGCAGCACCGCCTGGCCAACAACAAATTCATGTCTCATCACCGGGTCAACATTTTCTTGTTAATGCTCAATATCCACAGCAAACCTTTCAACAAGTTCAACAAGTACCACAAAATGTACAAAGTTTTCAATTAACAACAGCATCACAAGCCAGGTATTTATTAATCGAGCATAAATATTGAAAATTGTGCCACAAAATGTAATAATTGTTATTACTTTTAACAATAGATCCGGTCCAAATGAAATTGTAATGGTTAGCAATCAAGCAATAATCGCTCCGGTCAACCAAACAACTGCACAACAACCGACAAGTAATTTGATCGAATATAATTCGAGAGTGATTCGAATAACAGATATTTTATTTCAGAGCAATAAATATTAGGAGTCGGTTTACTCCTCACTGAGAAGGAGGCTTCTCACATTTATTGCTTTGAGAAAGAATCTCTGTGAAATAATCTCAAACTAATTTAGAAACTTGTTTTTTCTCAGGAATATTCAATCCACACTTGGCTCCGCCTACAGTTACTGGAATGTCTGTTCAATTTCAACAAGTAATGCAGCCACAAGTGGTTGAAAATACACAAATTATAGATCAATCGCACCAATCGAACTTCCAAACACAAATGCATCAACAACAGATCAACGAAAATCAACAGAAATTAAATGGTATACCTGTGCCATATCCACAACAGGTAAATTTATAATGACTACTCGTTTTTGATACCTTTTTATTAACAAACATTTCCCAAAAAATCATCAACAGATGGAAGACTCACGCATGGGATTGAAACGGAAACGAAATGGAGATGACGACCATGGACCACCAAAACATTTATTGCCACGAATGGGCATGGGGTAAGAATTTCATTTTCTCTTTTGCTATTATTAAATTGCGCATTCAATAAAACATTTAAATACATAGTACGTAAATATAGATATATAAGATAGCATTTTTAAGCTATAATCGCATATAAAAAGATTATCATAATGAAATGTTGTGCTTTTAGGTCTTGTGTATGCAACATTTTTATCAATTTTTAAAAAATTATTTCGGTCATCATGATTTTAAATTTTATTTTCTGACGAACAAGAAAATCAATTTAAATTTTATTGCAATGAATGAAATACATTTTAGAGTTATACTTCTTTGTATACTTCAAAGTCCGTTACATGCTACACGACGGTAATATTATAGTTTGTGACTGACAAATAAGATCAAATAAAATGGGAAATCATATGGAAAAGTATTATAAGGAAACACTCAGTTTGAAAATCGTTGAAATTTCATTAAGAAACAAATATATATGCATTCCATATCATATTCCTTGGTTGGTATGTTGTGACTGTTAATGAAGCCACAGTCATTTAGCAAAGATTTTCATTTTTATTACTCGATAATATTTTTCATATCGTGAAGGTTGATTGGGGGGCGATTCAATTATAGTGTGCCGGTCGTGGTTAACTTTTACCTCTCGAATGATACATAATATCAGGATATGACTCAGCGTTAATTTGTATGTTGTTTTCTTATAAGCGAGGAATGAAGAAATGAAATTAAATAATAAAAGGTGCAGGGTTTTTTAGTACATTGAAATGTAGTGTAACTTAAGTTTAAATTTAAGAAACCATCAAATTAATATAATTCGAATTGATTGCCAAATCAATGTCCAATTTTCATGTTAAAAAACTGGCAGTAACAAAAATTAAATTTTTTTCTTCAAAATATCGAATATTGGAAGCCAATCTATAGACTAACTTGCGTTGAAAAAATACATTGTCCAACGATCTAAAATTCCATTCCCTCGAATATTCTCCGAAAATATCGTGATATACTTATAATTGATGAAATGTTTGGCATGTGTCTGGTTAAAATTCAATACAATTTATATTTGAATTTGATGTTTGGAAAACGTTTACTCAAATCGATTATTTTATTTTTATATTTTAAATATTGTTCATTTTTCCCTCATAAACCCTAAATGTTTGTAGCATTTAATGAAAAACAAATTTATTTATTTTCCGATGATAAAACTGAAACATAAACTAACAAATGTTCCAAACACAGTTTTTTTACTTAACTAGCAATCAAATTAACATTACAATGAAAATGAATACATTATAGTATATTAACATATAGTTTATGTTTCAGTTTTTTTTATTTAGATAAGTATCTTTTTGGATGTTATTCCATCAAACATATAAAAAATTGCATTTTAAATTTCGTTATTTAAATGAATAAATAACAATTAAAAAAATTGCTTAGATCGAATAATGGTGGAACACAGCAACACCTGCAGCAGTATGCTACGATAAACACAACAAACAGTGGTTTATCGTTGGCTTCAACTCCAGTCACAGTGACCACTACTAACACTCAAGGTATTGTATTCTCATATTGAAATTGAGAAACCCTTAAACATTTTCCAACACACATTTAGCTTAAATTTTTATCAAATACACTCACCTCACTTTTTTCAAGTAAATAAGTAACAATAGATTTCGTAGGCATTTTGATTATATGTAAGATTCTAGGACTTCTGGAGTGATTCCGACGGCTTCTGGATGATGACGGTGGCACACATCGATGAATGTTCAATTTTCATTTAATTTAGTTTTATTGCCTAGAGTAAGAATCGAATTAATTAAAATTTAAGCTAGTGTAAGATCAGTTTGGTACTTATAGATGTATAAAATTGGTTTCGAATGTTTGATGAATTGATTGAGTGCTTGAGAGTTTGAAGTTTTAACATCTGTGATAAATTGCGATCTGTTGATGATAAATGTAATAACCAAAATTGGCGTAGATACTTTTTCATACCACATTCACTTAGTTGTACTAAAAAGTCGTAAACGCGGTATGCAAGAGTATTCATAGGTTTGGTGTGTTTGTTTGTTCAGTGGGAATTAATCACAATGAGACTTTTCAGCATCTGGATAAAATCAATGGATTGGAAGACGACCGCAATGGCCGCATATTTATTTTCCAACAATTGTTGTTGTTGTTGTTGTTGTTGTTTTTGTCCTTTCTTCAACAAATAAATCATCTGGATTGCAGCAGTCATCGTTGGATATATTTCGTTCAACGTTGCATTTTTCGTACATTCCATTTTTTAGGTTTCCAAATTAAATAGCAAGGGTATGAGGTCAATTTCATCAACATACTTTTGGAGTATGACGGTTTTTCAAATCGGCGGTTTGGTTCAGTAATTTTTCAAATGTAGTTTGTGTGAGATTAATTTTTAAGTATGAAAATGTAGTTAATTTTTTATAATCAAATATATGAAAACCAATTGATTAACTAATTTATTCGATTTGAAATGATTTAAAATTATTAGATGAGCATCCGATGTCAAACAATTTCAATCACTTTAATCAACGCATGGGAAACGATAACGAGCAATCGGAAACACGGGCTGTGTTTTATCGTATGCCACCCAATTCATCGGCACCGCCGAAGGCAATGCAGTCGAATTCACAATTGATGGGAGGAATGCCACCACGCGGCCCACACAGATACAATACAAATAATAACCCTGGTAATAGCAATAAATTATATCACTAATATGCATTGTGAATTAATTGATTTTAAATGTTGTATATTTTATTTTCGATTTTTCTTTGCACAGGAAACTTTCCGATGCATCGCATAAATTTTGGTCCACCACCACCACCGCCGCCACTTCCATCACGGCCCCCTCGATTTTCAAATCGTTGATGATTTCGTGTAGGATAACATTGAAACGATCGTTAAGATCTATATTAGATCTTATTTAACGTAACTGATATTATTGAATATCATTAGATCTCTCGCTATTCAGTTGGAAAATGAATAACTACAATGTAGCATCGAGAAAAATAATGAAGAGTAAAGCAGTTTTTTTACCATATTTTAAAGCAAATTCAGTAAACTTTATAGCATAAAGAGCTGAACTAAGTTTTTTTTATAGAACTAAGACAGATAATTATAATGCCTAGTGATTAAAAATTGAAATAAAAAAAACTACAGTTATTTGAAGTAATGTTGTTTTACTTTTCTTCTTATTAGAGTAAAAAAAATCAAAATGGTGTAGAATTTAACTAGATATATCTATATATCTCAGCCGGTGTATATTTGTATGAGATTGGAGACTTTTTTTTGCGAATCTCGCTAATGAGCGCCATCTGATTTTAGTGTGAATTAGATGCAAAAACTGAATTTAATTCTGTAGCATTGAAATGAAAAAGTGAAAGAACAACAACAATAGCACGGCCACACAGAATGTACATCTATGCGTGCTGATGCATACATACACATATACGCTTTCTTCATTCTTTCATTCCATTGCTATACGTATCTCACTGGTCAACAGATCTATGTAGCCATGTTACTGTTGTTGTTTTTTTTCTCTTTTTCGATTCAATTCATTGTAACTAAATTGAGTTCAACTATGGAATACAAGATGGCACAGATGAGGGGAATTCGCATTTTGTCTCTTCATAGGCTTAGCCGGTTGATATATCTTCTATAGAACGAGATTTGAGCACCTAATATTGAACGGAAGCACAGAAAATAATTTGATTAAATCGTGAAAAGAATGACAAAAATAAAGGTGCACATGTGTCAAAGTTATAATGGACTATTTTCAAATGCATAATAATAATTTTCTTGTGAAGATCTGCAAACACTTCGTTAAATATGCATACAATTTTTAAACTCTATTTTTGAACTACTATCAGTTTATTTTGAATTGCATGCATAATTTTTTAGTAAACAGTGTCCTATGTTTATTTTATGCATTTCGATGACTTAATCCATAGCAAGTATATTGTTGACACAATGCTGTTGTTGTTACAATCATCCACATGGTACATACTGTGCAAATCATTATCAAGTTGATATTGCGCTTGTGCATGCGATCCCACTTCAAAAGAACAAAGCCCAACAATTCAAATAAGCTTAATATATTTCCCCTTCAACCAAAGAACATCCACCATCAGCATGAAAATTATGCTCTCGTTCATCTCATTCTTGTTGCATCCATTTCTCCGCATCTCGTGAAGCCTATAAAACCGTATCGGATGTAGTCACGAAAATTCAGTCTTTATCCATTTTTCAGCCGCTTGACATTAAACTAGCGCATGTCGAACACAATTTTCACAGCATTTTGTCGATAATTTATAAGATTTGTTTCTTTTTTGCGTGGAAAAAATAATCATTTTGAATTCAAAACGTGTATATCAGGTGTTATTTATACAAGTGAATCCAAGTAAATAAATGTAAGTTCACTCTGCCAATACATTTTCCAATTTGATTAAAATCCTTTCCATGTACAACTACCATCATTAAATATTTATTTTCTATTGCAAGAAAAAATGATGTCAAAATAATCTTGAACATAAAAAAAAACAACAGAAAAACTAGGATACATAGCTTTTTTGCATTTACATAATTGCCTGAGCTGATATAGTTCATAAGTTATATCGTGTGGAAAATGGTACTTCAAGTACATAGTTTTCTGTATCAAATGTCTTAAGAAATGTTTTAGAGCTAAGCACATCATTTTCATTATACGTTTGAGCTTTGCTACATTGATTCAGTCACAGCTTGAGTAATTATATTCGTTAACATGTACGTTACTGATTTTAGATGAATTAAAGCCCTACTTGCACATTAATTTCATTAAAACATCTCATGTTCGTCAAGCAACGTGCTAGAATTAATTTCACCTTTCATTTGAAGTGGTTAATTCTTTGGATGAATTAAATTTAGTGTGTGTTCATTTCTAATGTACTTAGAAAATGACATAGAATAAAAAAACCTGCATATCACGTATAAGGGTTAAAAAAAACCATTGTATTTACGGAATTTACAAACACAACGAGCGATAAAAGATGTGAAAATAGCTGTATCATTGTCGTACTTTGCAACATGTATAACTGTTCAACATTTGTAGCAACGACAGAAACACCATTTCATTACGAACAAAACGGATTCCCATTTATTTAAACGATGTTTTGAAGGGCTTTTTTTCTCTCTCTCTCCCTCTCTCTCAATGTCATTGGCATTTTGAGAGTGATTATTTCAGTAAAAGTTCTTGCCGTCCATAATACAAACGACAAACATATGCCTGAGAAAGTTTTTTCCATCCAATTGCAAAATATATTAAATGCAATCAACATTGATTGTTCGCATAAATTGGTAGGAGGTGTTTCCGAGTATAATAAAGTGGAATGGGGTACAAAAAAAGTTCTTTCTCTCTCTCTCTGCGGTAGTTTACATGAAAAATTAAAAACATTGTTCGTAGTTGAGTTATTATGAAAGCGATTCTCTGGAAAAATGTTTATTATTTCCTTTGAGATTTGATGACGAGGTGGAAACTATTAACGCAGAAGTCTTTCATCTGAAAATTTTAAATTACAAATCGACAATAAAAGAATGCTATATATGCTAGAACGAATGTGGATCCATTTGAAATGATATACATAGACTTAGATAACGGAAAATAAAAAATGAATGGGTCTTTCAAAGTCGCTGATTTTATTGTACGATATATATCTAAATGGAAAACGTGTTTATCGAAAACTGTGCATTCGTTTACCACGTACCGTCTTGGGTCCCCGACGACGATACGACCGTAAAATTGATGTTGCGAAAAACAGCCTTGAGTTGCTCTCATTCAAGGTCTCGGTTAATTCCATCGGCGTTTTGTAGTGAGAATCAATCGCATCTAGAATCGAAATGATGTCGTGAATGAAAAAAAAATCTTCGACAAACAAAAGTGTGCTCGTATCTCAACGTTTTTTACTATAAATACCCCGTGCACAGGGCATGAGGTATGGTTCAGAATGATAAGTTATCTTGCGGTATTATATCAAAGAAACATACTCACTATATTCCAAATGAATTATTCCGGCCGCTGAACTCAGGTAAAAACGAGATTTTACTTCGGAGAAGAAGTTATTTCAACATGAATCTATAAATAATTCCGAATTTGAGTGGAATAAATTCAGCTGAATCGATTCATTCGAATGTAAAATATACATAAATAAAATTGAAGTCGCCCATGCTTTGAAAGAAAAGGGGCGGAGAATGTTTGTATTTTGTAGTCTTAATATTGATACGGAGAAGTATATATGCCAGCTGTATGTAGCCAGACATATGACATGTAAACGAAATTTTTGAAGTAACTCAAATTCAAAATATAAATACATATTTGCTGTTTATTAAAATGCGAAATAAATTGTATAGTACTTCAACTTTACAAATTTCATACCATAGACGAAAAAAGCTAATTTCTTCTTTGTTCACGATTTTGAGTTTCGTAAAGTTGTGTAATTTTGTTCAAGATATTCAAGCGACAATGATTTAAATTGAATTTATCAATCAACTCTTGCATTGTCTTCAACTTGATAATAACTTTTGCTCATTGTCACTTTTACAGGAGTTTTAATGTCATCGTAAAGTAAACGAATCATAAATCTTACGTGACGTCCTAGATTTCATACAACTGTAATTGTTGGTGTTTGTGTGTGTGTGTCGATTTTTATTTTAAAAAACCGTCACATTGGAAGGCAAAATTTTTTCGGCGGTGAACAGTTTTCTCACTGCATCAACAAAGGAAATAAGGCAGCTAATGGTATGATGTTTTGTTCGCAATTTAATTTTCTTGTTATGCAGTAAGGCAGGTTGCTTTTACCTTATCATCGGCGCCAATATATAGAGCTATTAAAAATTAACAGAGCAAAAATCAATATGAATAGAATTGATTGTATAATATCGTTAACAGACTCGAAATAACAATGAGCGGAATGCAGCGAACACGGATTATGAAAATAATATCGAGCAAGTGGACTCGATTTCAGATGCGAGCAGTATAATACGGTACACCGATGGAAGTCAAGATATATCGGTTGAATCACCGATTCCATGCCGCAGTGCTAATTCAAGTACGGATGGTGTATTCTTTTCATCATCATCTGGGCGTAAAGTTATCGACAATCGCCGATTGATATCAAAAAGCCAAATGAAGGGTAAAATAATTATATTACGGACAATTTATTATATTTCATCAGTTAATGAAGTCGGTTAATTATTTTAGTATCTTGAATTGTTTATATTTATTCAAAAAAAATGGTGAATTTCAGAATTCCGTGAGGCGTTCAGACTGTTTGACAAGGACGGAGATGGATCGATTACCAAAGAAGAATTGGGAAGTGTTATGCGCTCATTGGGACAATTTGCACGTGTTGAAGAATTACGCGATATGCTTTTGGAAATTGATATTGATGGTACATTTAATTTGATTTTACATAATATTTTAAGATTGATTGACTGTGATTGGCGTAATTTTAAAATGAACAAAATTTGTAGGCGACGGGAATGTGAGTTTTGAAGAATTTGTCGATATTCTTAGTAATATGACCGATGCTACCGCCGAATCTTCAGCTGATCAAGAAGAACGTGAATTGCGCGATGCTTTTCGTGTCTTTGATAAACACAATCGAGGATATATTACAGCTTCCGATTTGCGTGCGGTGAGACCCACATACGTATATATTTCGATTATAACAATAGAGTTTTTACAATCCAAATTGGCTTGAATGACTTGAATTGATGAATCTTTTTTTAAAAAAATTATACTTTTCTTTTAATTTTTGAAGGTCTTGCAATGTTTGGGTGAGGATCTGGATGAAGATGAAAGTAAGATTCATTTAATTTAATTTCATCAATACAAATTCTATTTTCGTTATTATGTGCATCTTTCAGTCGAAGATATGATCAAAGAAGTTGATGTAGATGGCGATGGTAGAATCGATTTTTATGAATTTGTACATGCATTAGGCGAACCAGAGGATTCACAGGAGAATGAAGAAGACGATGAACTATTTTCACCACTACCAGTAACCAAATCGATTACAGTCAACGATTGTGATGACAATCTATCACAATAAAATGGTATATCAATCCAACAAAACAAACAAATTATGAGCTCACAGTCTATTTAACATAAGAACCATTTTAAAAACAATCCCATTTTGGAATACATATATAAATATTTACTCAATCGCTTCATTTGTTTTTCTAAACTTATTACATATCCAACATCACAATTCATAATCCATGGTACTTTCATTTCTTATCAATTTGTAATAGATCATCAAATATATTCACTTTAATCATTACAATTTTTAAATTCTGAACCTCACTTTTTAATACAATTTTCCTCACTTTGTGTAAGACTTTAGAGAATCCAATGCAAAATAAATAAATCTTATGCGTGTGTTTTTTCCTCTCAACAAAAAACTAATAATGTGTTTTAAAATTTTACCAAGAGTATTTAGTACTTACAATTTCCAAACTAGAAAACATGAAAATTCATATTAAACATTCGGTATAATTTATTTATGAAATATTTGTTTATTAAACAAAAGGTAACATTTGCATGCATTTTGATGCAAATTATGAATGTCTAATTTTAGTTTAATGCTATATGTGCATAATAATAACTAATTAGACTCGACTATTATTATAGAGAGTGTTGAATTCATCAATGAATTGGCCATTATGGTTGCTGTTGACCTGGATGCTTTTCTTTGGTGTGACGTTTTAGATTTGTTGCGCTCGTCGTCCGATATTCGGTGCACAAAAAGCAATGGTAACGTCGATCAGAGTGATGTTTTTTGATGTGATTGTCTTTCTCGTAAACTGACATCAATTTTTTCGGACAAAAATCACACTTCACTTCATTGCCACGAATATGATTGGTTTGCTTATGTTGGCACAAATCGTCCTTGCGTTTGAATGAGCGTGGGCAGATTGAGCATTTGTATGGAAATAATGATGGATGACAACGACCATGATGTGACGACAATCCTTTTTCGGTTTCGAAACTTTTGACTGCGTCAATTGGACAGTAGATACATGAAAATTGATGGTGTTCGCGAACATGTCTTCGTAGACGTTCCAAACTGTCAAATACTCGTGTACATTTGTTGCAGGAAAATTGTTCCTCGCTGCGGACTTTTACATGCATTGATCGGTTTACTTCGTATCCAGTAGGTTGGCGCTGAGTTTTTTCGTAGACAGCTCGATTGGCGTAGACATTAGTAACTTTTGAAAAGTCGTTGGTATGGTGCCGAGAAACGTGCGACTCGAACGAACGACCCGAAAAAAATGGTCTTTTACAAAAATCGCACTCGTAACAGCAGGCTCCGTTCGAATCTATCCAGATTTTACCTCCAAATCGCCCAAATCGCGAATGCGGTCGTCCAACTGGCTCCATTTTCAAACAAAATGGCAAGCAATCAAATTATTGCATTTAATTTTTGTACCGTTTGACGTTTGCGACGTAAGTTTTACTGTTAAAAAGGGCTACTTCAGAATTGTGGCGTCCACTTGATACAAAAAGTATTGAATGTGTGTGCGCACTATATTCAAATGAAGTTGACGTTGAGCTCTTAAGTTTGATGCCGCATAAATGTGTGAGTCACATCTGTGTTAAGTGAGTCGCATCACTTACGTTGTCACCGTTTACGTGATATCGACTAACAATTTATGCATGTATTTGTTGATTTATGCAGTATTGAACAAAATTCGAAGAAATATTTATTTACAGTGTGCGAAAAAGAGAGAAAAGGTTTGGTATGCTGTGGAATCCAAAATGAGTCGTGTTGTACTTTGATCTGAAAACGAATACTTCTAAATTAACATTTGTAATCAGCTTTAAATAATTATTCAAAGAAATCAGTCTCAATTTTGGTCGCTGCAAAATTCGGAATATCACTACAATGAAATACCAAATTGTTCGCAAATAATTGTTAATATTTTATTAAATATGGTTTTTTTTTTCATTTGTGTCGCTTTAGAAATTGACCGAATTCAATTTAACATTGCGACAAAAAATATGAATCAAAATGCACAAAATTGTTAAAATCAGTATTGTAAATTAATTGTTCAAAATAAAATGACTAAATATCACATGAGCGGATCATGTATATTCACAATTCTCTGTTAGTTGATCTGGAGTATTTGCAATTTTTTTTAAAAGAAGAAATATTTTTCTGTTTGTTATAATATTGACTTTGCTAACTTAAAAATGTCAATGATGAATACTATAATTTAAACAAAATAAGCGGCAAGTTGAGCCATTTTATCTTTCGGTGGGCGTCCTCTATTGCCACGATTCGATGCTCCGCCACGTGATGGACCATTTCCGATGGAAACACTACCTCTGCCTCTGCCACCACGTACGGAATTCGTTTGAATTGGTTTCGTGGCAACGGCCCGATGTTTTTCCACCAATGGTATAAAATCGATGCTACAAAATAAACAGCCGGTTTTCTCTTCGGCATTGTCCTTGAATTTTGATTGATCGGCTTTATACACAACAGTAACCAATTGTGCTGAGCATTCTTCACATTGTTTATTCTCATTGACTGTCACTTTTGATGCTTTGTTGAAAATATTTATAATGACATCGCATGAATTGCAGCCTAATTTCCACTTTTTCGGTGCTGATGTACAATCCAGCACTAGAATGCCACGATCACATTCATCACATACAGAAACACCAAGTTGATTCATCGAATGTGCGCACGTTGGATGCATACATGAATTACAACCGCCTTTATTTGGCATTCCTTTAAACGGTGGATTGGCATAACAATATGGACATAATGGAAAAGATCGACCCTTAGTTCCACTCGAGAATGCAAGCAATTCAAAATCATCAAGCGGACACCGAAGCTCTTTGTATGCCCTGTAAAGAATAAAAGGTCATTGTGAAAAGGTATACAATACACACTTGAATACTTCACTACAAACCTAACGGTGCCATCCTTTGGTAATGTGTATGTGTCATCGCATTGAGTACAGTGTAAACGGGCGGGCATCGTTTGAATGTACTTCATGTATCGTCGACATTTACCGCATCGTGAAAATGCTTTTCCAGAATCGGCAATCGATGCAAACGATGACTCGAATAGTGAGTCCATTACGGTTATATTTTGAACGAAAAATAAAAATTTCATGCGAAATATTTCAATGGCATGCTTTAGAACCGCATTGAAATCGGCCGAACCGGCTGCAATTAAATTTAATGCTTTTTCCACATCCGAGCGCATGGTTGGGAGCACAAGCTCTGGATCGATTTTCTGGTATCCTAAATTTTGACATTTTTGAATTATTATGCACCAATATCAATCGTTTTCTTTTCAAATCGTTTACCATGAACTAAAACACTGCCGAGAGTTGTTGGAATTAGACGTCGACTTGATCCAATGGTCACGTAATTTCGTTGACAAATGTTGTTTATATGGACCGGAATCGAAGCATCTAAAAAATTGGTAAAATCGAAATAAGTATCGAAAATGTCGTCATTATTAAATCCAAAAAATCCTTTATACCTGTTCCGATGCCATGTTTTTCCATTAGTGTAATCTAAAAACAGACACAACAGTATTTTTAGTATTTGAATTTCAAATCATTTTAAAGTATATCGAATTGAATGAAATAAAAATATATCACTTACTAGCTCGGACTCTGTCAAATAATCAGGTGGACCTATTAAAAAAAATCCAATTGAAAATTAAATTTAATAGCAGTAAAAGTCATCTTTGATAAACACAAATGTTTACCTCTTGGTTTACCTTAACCCCATTCACAATAACCACTACTAACTACACACAAATTAATATTGTAAATCGATAAGATTCATCACCTGTTTGACTCTCGACCAATTTATATTCGTTGATTTTCAATGAATCGCCTTGTTTAAATGTTTGGGCTATATCATCCTTTCCAAACGCCTGCCATGTCATGACTTTTGTGTATCCCGGATCAACCAACTTATTGGTTGTGCACGAAAATTTCTCACTACCAACCGTAAATCTTGATGTTGTTTGTTTGTAGCGTAAATCATGTGAAACAGTAGCCAAGAAATGACGACATATGTAATCGTACACTCTCCATGTATCATTATCACATTCACCTCTATCTGTACGTATAAAAAAAGTTAATGTGTGAAAAAACAACAACTAAACAAAGAAAAATTGTTACTCATTAATTTCATAGGGGTGATGGGTGGATGGTCACCACAGTCCGTTCCACGTCGTGGTGAATTGAAATTTTGTGAAATTTCCTTCGCTTCAGTTCCAAATTCTGATGATGGCTGCAACAAACGTACAACACCACTGCAAAAACAAGGAAAAAATTAAAGGAAATGTACTTTTTTTTTCTCTTAAGAACAACAATGTAATGCTTACATTAAATCAAAGTTTTGTGGATAGCTTGTAGTTTCTGTACGCGGATAACTGATGAAACCTTGAGTATATAGACGTTCCGCATATTGCATTGCATTATGCGGACCAATACCCAATCCACTACTGGCAGCTCTCATCAATTCAACAGTATTCAAAGCCAATGGCCGTGGCTTTACCTGATCTTTCTCCGTTACGCTCTCAACGCTAAATAAAATCAAAGCCGATTTTTCAGTATTTAAAATGAAATTGAATGGAATAGAATGTATAGCTTACTAAGCTTCTTTGTGTTTTTTCACGTTGTTCATAAAGAAGTTGGCAACATCTTTGGTAAAAATGCGATTTCTGGCCCATTCCAGTGTAACATCTGGATTGCCAACCGACAATTGAACATACCAAAATGATTCGGGCTTAAAATTTTGAATTTCATCCTGTCGCTGAACACAAAATCCAAGCGTTGGTGTCTGACATGGTCCATATGAAATTAGCGATGAATCCAAATCGCCATAATGTCCTTGGAAAAATTTGGTTTGAAAACGTGTAAACGCGCATCCAATACGCAAATCGATTTCTTGTCGCGCATCAACACTTCGAGCCTCATTTTCATTCGGCCGAATTAAATTGTTCATCGCATATTTAATGTCCTTTTCGGTGATGGCCGAGAATTTTGCACGATACGTCACTTCGTTTGAATATACATTACGAATTGAACGTGACACGGCATCTATCACTTCGAAACAAATGTTTTCACCTTCTTTGTCGCAATCCAGCCATAATACTAAGTAGTCACATCCTTTTGATTCTTGACCAAGAAATTGTCGCATTCGTAATTTTGGTGTTGCTTCTTTCTTTTCGGTTGGGCACGTGAATAATTCAACCGGATCGACTCTATCCCATGAATTGTATTTACCTGAAAAAAATGTACAATTAAAAAAATGCGCACCGAGGAGCCAAAATATGATAATCGATATTTACCCACGAAGTCGAGTGACATGACATGCCCGCACACCGATGTCATTTTAAATAGAACATTTTCATTTCGAAATAGCCCTTTCCATTCATGTACCGAACACGAATTATTCGAACCTTATTATTTGAAACAAAAAAAAATTTGCGTTCATACCAAATTTATATTTAAAAAAAATCTTCACCTTTTCGATTAGAATTTCGTCCATTGCTCAGTATATTTGCCAACGATGCAGCCAACGACGGCTTTTCTGCAACCATAAACACAGTCTTCATTGTTTTTACAAAGCGTCTCTAGACTGAATGTAAAATCTTTGCCAATTAAAAATGTTTTTTAGCCAAATTTGGTAACAAGAAAAATGCCGCCTATAGTTTATCTGTTTTTATCTATCTCGTCTCCAATAACTAAAACAAACTATGCTCTACTGACAGCTCTGTGTAACGCATACATGTACACCAGAAAAATTGAATCATAGCGTCTATGTATTAGACAAATATTGTCATTTATTCAGCACTTTTGCCCCAATGAAAAATATACGGTAGCATTGTTGTGTTATGTGTATTCACTGGAAAAATTGAAGCAAAACAATATTCAAGCATTGAAATTTTGATGCAAACAATTCAAAAATAATTTGATATCAGAAAAGTTGAAGTTTTTTCTTTTGAATGTGTGTAATTTGTTGAAGAGTTTCGTTTTGTGTGGCGACGTCAAACGGATATTCAGTGAATTAACATTTGACATGCTGTGTTAAGGTTAGGTGTCAAAATTCCATTCTGTCAAATTCAAGTGCGTGCTTTGTTAGGATTCACAACGACTCGTGCTTAAAATTGGTGATTTTTCTAATTTAATTTCGATTTTATAACAATTAAGCAACAACAAAACGATGTCTGAACCAAGCTCCAAGGATACAGTACTCAAAACGGCCATGGTTTACGTTTGTGGCGGTAAGATTTTACAATAGAGTAGTTTTGCATGTATAACATGAAACAACCTTGTAATTAGTGCATTTAGCATATGTATATCTTCTCAATTTGTTTATTTCTTTAAAACTACATCTTTTTATAAATTTTTTTTTTTTTCAAATACCAATTTTGTTTTCCTTTTCTTTCATCAGAATGTCACTGTGAAAACGAGATGCGGCCAAAAGATGCAATTCGGTGCCGTGAATGTGGTTATCGGATCATGTACAAAAAACGTACAAAGCGATGTAAGTAAATGCATGAATAGTTGAGGACAAATTTTGTTTTTAACTATACAAACATTTTTTGTTTTGTATATACGGCTTAATCATAATGTTTTTGTGTTTTTTTAGTGATCGTGTTCGACGCCCGCTAATCAAGGCACAAATGGATGGCTTAATTTAATATCTTGTAATAGACTTAAATAATAATTCTTGACTTGTGGCTATCGGATAAATAAATTTTGAACGTACAAATTGAATGTTTTGTTTTTTTTATCGACAATTTTGTCAGCTGAAGTAAAAATGTTATTCAATTCGGATTCTGATTCGATGTAAATTGAATTTTACGGGTGGTTATTTAAAAAAAAAATGTATCATTGTAATCAATGTTTGGAGAACTAGAGAGAGCTTCATTAAAATGAATAGTAATAGAGGTAGCTAAAAAAAAAAGTCATCGAATGACACACATGCAATGAAATTTACTTAACCGGATCAACTATAAAATAGAAATAAAAACCGAATCAATTCGTATGAATCATACGGTATGATCTTCATGCATTTAATGATTCGTACAACTGTTCAGCCAGGTTTTTGAAGCCAGAATACCCGCCGATATTTGTTGCAACTAAATTTTGCTTATAAACCACGAGACCATTGTCGAATAGAACTTTTGTTTTCAAAAAATCCATTATGAACTGTCGATACCATGCGTTCCATGTTTTCCCTTTGGACCAGCGTTCTTGAGCCACAGCTTTGAGATGACTAACATGTGTTTGGGGTGAAATATCCATTTTACAGCAACCACAAATTAGTCCAGCAATTGGTCGCGTCCCATTGATCCCAATGTTGATCACCTGATGGCTTAATATTCAATTCATATCACATTAGAATAACAAAACTATTTATAAACACAAGAATTTGTTTTCATACCCGTGATTTTTACGATGATGATACATCACTTCTTGTTGTGTATCAAAAATAATGTTGCAATGTTTGCAATCAAATCGCCGGTTGCCATTCAATGTTTGCAATTCCGCTACGGTTTCTTCCGTATACATAACCGGATTGGATAGTCGTAATTCAATGATTAAGTCAAGTTGTTCGCAATGATGCTTATCCAAATCTTTTCCAGCATAAAAACATAAAACGCATCGACCATTTTGAGCGGCAACAAAAATGTCTTTTTGATGTTGCTTATGATGATGTTTCCGAAGACCTTGAAAATTGCTAAAGTATCGACATTTTCCAATGTGGCATTGCATTAAATCAATCAGAAGATATTTGAAGGGCAAGGCTGAATGTTGGAATCGCCAATGATCATTCAATTCATCCAATGTTGAAAACACAAAATCTTTTATGTTCTGAACTTTTGCTTCGTTGCAATGGAAGCACATCCATTCTTTGCGATTGTTTGTTTTGACATCTGGCAAATACAAAGAAATTCATTAAATTTGATAAGCATACAAAATTTATGAAATTTTTTACCACCACATCCTTTTTGTACGCTCAAACTATTCGATTGGATATGTTGTTTTGACATCGGTGCATTGGAAATATTGCCAACATGTTCTTCCTGGACAGTTAAATCATTGGAATGGAAATTTTGTTGTGGCATAGGCACGTCGACTTCAATTTCATTTGCGTCAAGGTTGATTGTTTCGTCGATCATCATGTATGGAGTGCTCTTCACATTTGGTTGATCGACTCTTGCAACGGCAAATGGTGTATTTTCCACCATTTGAATGTCGCTTTCAATGGTATTCCTTTCGTTGGTTGAAATCTTCAACGATCTTTCAATTTGTAATGCCATTTCAAATCGTTTGAAAATTTCCATTAGCCTAAAATTATATTCAATTAATACACAATTTTAAGATGTATCATAATAGCGTTACCTGTAGTTTGCACTTTTCAACAAATTTATCTTAAATCCTGGATCAATTCCGCTACCCGAACTTAGAAGATGCTCTTTCATAAAATTTAGCGATCTTGTGGTCTCGATATCGATAACACTAAGCCATCGTACGATTTCATCATTTAAAATATTGGACGTCATTTTAATGTTTTTATTCAATTAAAAAGTAATATAATTTTCACAGTCACTGTATGATATCTTGTGTTGACAATGCAATACTGTATGGCATGCACAACAATGTCTAGTCCACTTTGCTTTGCTGTCTGGGTATGTAATAGGATACTTTGAAGCGTTTGATATTTGTTCGGTAGTTGGTGCACTAACACAAACAGAACATCACTTTGAATGACACAGTCAAAGCAATTCGCATGCATTCTCAATTGACTTTAAAGTATTGATACCGCACACATTTTATGTGTTTACTGTTTGCCATCGTCGTATTCCTAGAAATGCTGTTTATATAAAAATGACAATTGTGCAGAATTGTGTCGCCACATTTATTTATTGAAATAATGACAGTTTGAATATCGTTTTTTTTTTCAAGATTTTGGAATAAAACAGTTTTTAATCAAAATGGAAAATATTCAAAGTCAATTTTTATTTTTTTTAATTATTAAAAAAGATCCTCGTTCAGCAAATCTTTCTAAATGCATTCTTAATTGAATTTAGAAAATTGAATAAATATCAAGACATAAGTTTATGTCAATCCAAACAACTGAAAGAGAAATATTGTAATAATCAATTTCTTTATATGACTTACACTGCCGCCAGGAAGTTTGGGTACGATTAACGATTTTTATACAAATTGCCGTTTTTCACACGTGTCGCGTGTAAGACCATGAAGGAGCCATTTCCGATATTTGTTCTTTTTAGACAAAATGTAGATCATAGTATTTCATCCGAATTTTTCGAATTTATATGCTGTTTTGTTGCTTTGTTTTGATGTTCTCGAACAAATAAATAACAATATCTCCCATAAAATCAACGTTATCCAACATACCACAACCAATAGCATTAACCGTGATGGCATGTTGTCCTATATGATTACGTTGCTGCTGAGGGACACATCACTTTGGTTTGGTTGGAAAAATATTTTTGTGCTTCCAAATATCTTTTTTCTTCTGTTGTTGTTGTCGTTTGTTGTACTTTATTCGGCTAGCTCACAAAAAGCTCGTCTTTTCAGATCTCGCTTAATTGAATCTTTTTATTGCACAAACAAATACTATGAGTCGTATATGCCTTTGTGTTTCAGAAATGCACTGTACAATGAACCTTTCGCAAAATGTTGGCATTTGTTGAAATACAATATTTTTGTGCCAATAAACATTTTTTAAGTGCATGACGAAAAGGTGTTGTTTTTGATTGACTTCACTATATAATTTATAATTGGTTTTTCTTCCGAAATTATTTCTATATATATACTTTCTACATAGGCGGTTGATTTAAGTTAGAATAAGAATAAATAAATTTGAATGGTTTTTTGTTTTTTTTTTTTCTCATCTGACCAAGATTTATTGAATATTTTACACAATAATCGAAGTGATTACTAATATGTTTTCATAAGAATCTTTAGATCAGCAAATGTACCGAATAAATGTATTTAATAAGTGTCTTTCAATATTATTATAAATATAAGCTGTTGGTTATTGTTTAAAATAATATGTTTGTATATTGTTTGTACCAACACATGTTCGCTTCGCGAACTTACTTTTCGAATAGGAAATCAATAGGAAATTTCTTCTTTGTTTTACATAAGGCCATTTATTGATAAATATCACATTTGAAGTAATTAAGGTCAAGGAAAATAAAGAGGCTTACGTACGTTAGGAACCGAAATTTTTGGAAATAAACTTAAACTATGGTCCTTTGCAGTAACTTGAATCACCGTAAAAACTTGTGAATATTCTTTTCTTATCAAAATAAATAATCTCATCAAGTTTCAAATGTCAATCAAACATATGGGTACCTCCCATACAAAAATCCAAATTTTTGGTGACTTTTGTATGAAGAGTGCATCGAATATTATTTGTATCGCAAAACTACCATCATATTCGGATTCCTTGTGCCAAAAAAACCCCTGTCGGAGAAAGACAGAATAACAGAGAAAGACAATTTTTTGAAAAGATAATAACTTCATTAAACTTAAAATCAATTGAATTAGTATGAATAAAGAGAAGTTTTCGAAGAAAAAATTAATATATTTTGTAAGTTTCTTTTTATTCTATGACTCTTGACAACATTGAATTTTTCAGGTGTAACCAGTTCATAGATATAAAATGGCAGAAATGTTTCAATTTTTAAAATAATAGAAATTCTTTATACAAAGGAACATTAACCTTTTCGCATTCGAATTGTTAACATTTTAAGAATTTTATATTTCACGCACCCATCTGAATGCAGTGATTGCAATTCATACCGTAATCGAAAATACTCCGTAAAATTTACATTTTGAAGTCTCCATGCTCTTTGTCAATTCGAAAATCAGATCAGTTGGTTTGATGGTATGCGTGCCACACAGTGACGTAATAATACATTGTCACATTGGCAGTAGGCATTTGTCACGAACACAGCCCAAAGGAGTAAGTCATTTATAGGTCATCGTTCCTTTCCGCCATGGTCGCCTTCATACACCAAGAATCTTGAATACATTTTTTGGCATCGCAAAATCGTATTAATTTCGTAGTTTTCCAAGAAAATTTCAGTTCCAAGAAGCTTCAACGAAGTTGAAATACAACGCAAACAAATTAAACGAATTTCCCGTAATTTTTCCAAGATATTCCATAAAAGTGGACACAAGTGAGTACACATTACATTTTTTCCAATTTCATACTTCAGTTCCTGAAGTCCACTTACTAAAAACATCCCGCTTCAAATCAAATTCGATTTTTTCAATTATGATTTAGTATAATTATTTCAAAAAGTTCTTAATTTTGTGAACAGTTCTGCAATTCTACGATATTGTACAATTATGAACGAAGCGTCCAGAATGTAGAAAAATGGACTTATTGATTTGAGCATATTGTTTGTATAAACAAGTTAATCGATGTGTTGATCTACATTCTAAATATATCCGAAATTTGTTAGTGAAAGTATGTAGCTTTTTGTATCTCTACGAATGAATACAATTGGTGGTTTTGCTTTGAGATTTATTTGTATATTTTCATTTTTTCACAGAAAACGATGAATCAAGGAGGAAAATTGAAAAAATCGGGCGTGAAACGTCGATCGGAAAAATCAATCGGAAATAACCCAAAACCAAAGCATCAACGAACTGGCGATGAGGAAGGTGAAGCCACCGATGGAATCAAGCTGACCGATGTCATTGATGATTGTCTTGAGAGAATTTTCATGTATTCGTCTTTTGTCGATTTATTGAACATTGAATAAATAAGATTCAAAAAAACCATGTTGCAAATGTTGAAAGTGTTAAATTGATCTGCTGCCGATTGTATAAGAACATGGATTTTAACAAATGGTTTCCGGCAATGCGTCGTTTGGATTGGATTCGGTGTGATTTTGCGAAAAGAAAGTTCGTCGTTAAGAATCTTCCACATTTAGATTACTTGAAAATTGAACGCTGCAAACATATTTCAACCGAACATTTCTTCTCTTCCTTGCAAAGTAATCCACAATTGCGTAGCGTAAGTCTCGTTAGCAAAGTTATATCCAAAGACTTCTGGAGTGAATGTCAAAAGCTTACACAGTTGGAATACTTATATTTGTCTTGTAACACTATGCAATTTGTTGCAACTGCGGTGAACTTGAATGTGTTGAAAAAATTGGATATTAACATCGGAAAAGACCAAGATCCACACGTAGATAAATTCTTGTCAAATGTCATATTCGATCAACTCGAAGACATCACATTGGGTGTAAATTTGCGTGCACCACAGGACAAATTCCAATGGTAAAACTTCTTCAAGAAGAATATATCGATTGAAAAATTTACATTGTAGGACAAAATCAATTTCAACGATAACATTGTGACAGAAATTGTACAAGAATTGCCATTGTTGAGAGAATTCAACAATTTTGCTCAGCATTTTTCTGTTAACGACATGCTTGACTTCATGGGTAAATTCAATTTACAATTTCACTAAATGTTTTCATTACTTATAGATTAGTTTCCATTAATTTCATTCTTTTCCCTGAAATTCATCCCCAGTTAAATTCAATTTTACGAGCTATGGTTTCCGTCTTGCTCATTACAATTCCGAATTCGATGATTTGGAAAATCGTTTGAGCGCAGAATGGTGGGCGTCATTTAAGTATGATTGTGTTAGAGTAACCCGCAAGGAATGATGGATCGATTTTTTTAATTCTTCAATATAACCAGTGCAAGAGCACAGCGAGCAGAACTTTTTTCCATTTTTCATTCGATAATTACTTGAACATTCAATCATTTTCAAAATAAAATTTAAGTTTCAATCATTTTTTTGAACAACAATAGTTACCATGAGATGCTTTTCTTTCAAGGTTTTTTCATTTCGCAGCTTTACTTTGAATCTTATTTATTCATTGGAACATTTCTGAATTTGTGTTTCCATTCCCATAAATTGATTTTGAAATACGTCTACTCGAAAGGTGGCATTCATCAGTCCAGATGGTACTGATAATGAATCATTAAACAACAATCATGGAAAATGAAGAAAATGTCAATTTATTCGATATTAAGTAAAAGAATGATGAAAGAGTTGATTTGAAATAAAATTTTGTTCAGATATCCTTTAAAATTTTCGCGCAGCTTCTTTTTTGCATCCAAATGCTGTTTCTTTAAATCGTCTATTTGTTGTAGCAAGCCATTGATAAATTCGTTTGCATTTTCTGAACGGTTTTTCAACGTTTCAATTTCTTCAACATACTTCATTTATCAATGTTACAATTTCAATTAAATGATCAATTTCCAATGATAAAATTGCCTTCGAGTTTTCTAGGGAGATACACGTTCGGAGGTTGGAAGTGACCTTTTCAGTTACAGCATCAAATTTCCTGCCAGTAAATTTGCCACATATTTTACTTTTCCCCACGCCCACTGTGTGTAGTTAAGTATTTTGAATGTGATGGCTTGCAGTTTTGTTTCGTCCAAATTCACCAAATCTAACGGACGAACCATAGAATCGCCTATAGATGCCATCATATTTCAGATGAAAATACATTAATTTGAAGAAATGTCTATATATATTTTTAGCTCAAAACCGAAAATGTTGTATGGGAGGTAGACCGGATCGATATTTGACATCCGTAAAATTCAAAATGGAATCGATTTGTCTTGTCGAAATGAACATTTTTTGTTCTGGGACCTTTCTGATAAATTTGACCCTGTCTACTGGGGGGAAACTTTCTAAATGAGGATTTTTCAGTAAATAATTGACATAAAACGACCAGAAAACGGATTTAAATTGGCTGTAAGTGCTCTTAATAGTTTTCTTTTGCCATTATAGGCATAATTGTGACCACAAACTAACTACTGGTCAAGTTTGGAGCGATTTGGATAAAAACTTTGCATATGTCCCATACAAATTTTTTGATTTTTTGACCAAATATTGAGAAGTTCATATAAAAGTACACCAAGTTACCATTGTATCGATATAAAATGAATGGCTTTTGTAATGAATCATCATAGCTTAGCTATTGGTGAAGTTTCAAGCAATTTGCATGAAAATGAAGCACACTTCCTATACAAAATTTTGAATTTTGGGACGAAAAATCAAAACTTTTACCAAAACAACCTAATAATTCCCCAATATATGAGTTACTTCGATCTAGGATGCTTTTTTGGACAAAATTAAACAAAACTCACCTTGGAACGTCTGTATATGACATGAATACCAAAATTTTCAAAAAAAACTAAGATCAATGAACGTCGGGTCGAAAAGTGATAATAAAATTTAATGTATCCACATGATCATTCATTCCCCGATCAAATTCAACACTCGCATTCGACTCATGTTGATCACACGAAAAACTTATATGATGGCGGAAAGCATTCTAACTTGATTTGCGCCACCAACACTTACCGGCGTCAAGGTATGTTTTCAAGTCTCAATGTAAAATGAGCATTTTTTGCGAGCACGAAATTGATACTTAATTGTATTTAAACTATACGATTTTGGGCTGAAACCAATAGAATATCATGAGTAACATCATTATTTCGATTACATTTTATTGTATTTATTTGAAAAGAAAGTACAAAAGCTTAGTCTAAAATCTATACAGTCTAAATCATTTATCCGAATTAAAACTTAATTAAGAAAATATTTTATTCAACTATAATTTTGATACGATCGCTAATCTCACGTCCTTGTAATTGAGATACTTGTTGTCTGTTGATGATGACAGTGATAGGTGTTTCTCGAATTCTTCCAGCTGCTGACAATGCCATACCCAACTTGATGATGGGAACGCCGTTCATCCGTAAAATGCTTAAATTCGGTGCAGCCATTGCTATTAGTAAGATTTGCGCTGGATTTAGTTCTTCATCACCCGAAATGCAAATTTCACGTAAACTAACCAAATCGGATATAAAACTCACGAATATTTCACTCCAATTCATGCACGAAGAATTATTTATAATCTCCAAATGGGTCAAGCTCGTAAAATGTGGATATCTGTCATTAAAATGCGCATAATCTTCAGCATTGGCGTTAATTCTTGAACGAGCGTTCTCTAAAAACGTGATACATAAATGTTCCAATGTATTTTTCCGTGCGGCATCAGCATAGAAATTTATCAAGTCCTGTCCGCTTCTCATATAGGATGTGATTCGTGCGCATTTAAGATTTTCAACGGATGCCAAATAATTGTATCGATTTAAATTTTCTTGTAAATACTCCTCCGTAACTGCACGTTGAATGTCAATAAATTGCTCTAAATGCGGACAATGTTGTGCAATATTTTCGCAGAGCTTATCGTTGGGAGTGTTCGTATTGATCCATGAAAATGTTTTGAGTGCTGATTTTTGTGTGAAGTATGCGTCCCAATTCTCTTCCTCAGATATTGATGAATCAACTAATGCCATATTCTTGATATTGATCGCGTGGGCGCTTCCTAGCCAGGTGCCTTTAGTATGTGTATTCTGCAGGTGAATAGATTCCAGTTTGTTGGCTGCATCTGTGATTATCGTCAAAAGCTGATCGACACCGGAACCTTTTTGATGTCCAATCGATGAATAATGTAGTGTGCGTAGTTCAGCGAAGAATGGCTTTGATGCGTTTAATAGTTCAGCATTCACTTCACAATCGCTGAAATGCATTGAAATTGCTTGAATCCAATGCGACTCACAATTTTTAAGCAATAATTCCAAAAAGTATTCTAACGGTGATGACTTCTTGGCTAATACTTCATGGTTAATATTATGTTCACCAATCGACATAAATTTGATCCATCCTCCGAAAATATCGAAAATTTGTTCGGTGCTCCAAATTTGATTCCATTCATTGAAATCGATCATGTGTTTTCGCACTACCCGCTCAGCAACTGCATCGGCAACTGTTGCATTTATTTTACACAACTTCATCAAATCGGCTGTACTGAGCTGCTCGAATATAATGCCCAAACAATCG